GACTGATAAATGCCATCAATCAAAGTTACTAATAAAGTCCTTTAGATAGTAGCTTGTACTCTTTGCTTTTACAAAGTTACAAAATTACAATATTTCTTATGGAACCATTTCTTAGATATTTTATCCCAGCAATTATGGTTGTATTTATAGCTGAATGACTGTTATTATTTCATATAGTAGTACAACTTCAATCATATGTGTGGTACATAGCTTACCTCCATTATCACTCTGTTCTTAAAACTGTTTGCTTTCTTTCCCGATATAGTTAACACTAGTTGTGGCTAAGCAGGTCATCTTGGTTGTATATCAGTTAGCTTGCAACCACCAACTTTTCATGTATTTTCTGGGGCCATCTTTTTAGACCTTCAGGAAACCAGACAGGGAACTTTGTTGCCATCACAGTGTTAAATTTTTAATGTCCATTTCTGTGTTCTTGGCCCCTACTAGCTTCCTCTGAAAGACAAAATGGTATTCCCTCCTGTCCATTACTGTTTTCTTGGTAAATCTATGTGCTGCTAATACTGCTCTGTTAAATCATGACTGTTAGATCATGCATTCGCAGACCCCCCAGGGCCAGATAATGGCTTCTGCTCTCGCAGTATGAATAGGGTGTAAAATTGTCCTAAACTGGTACTTGAGGATTGTCTTGTCCTTACGCCACTCACCCTTACGCTGGATGGCAGAATTTGGCATCGCATTACAGCATAAGTGACACTGGCAGGAATATGGTTATCTGCTTCAGGGTACCAGTTGCAAGCAGACTGTCATAAGCAGATGAGACATAAAGCAGCCTGATGGATGTTTGTTACTGTAGGAATTAAGGAAGCCACAGATAGCATGGTTAAGGATGCCACTAAGATCACTTCAGGGTTACACCCTGTCAGATACACTGCATGGAGCACCTCTTAAATTTAATGAAATAGGTTTTGTATATAGCTTTATAGCTTTGTGAGAATAAAAACTTGTATATATGTAAAACATAAGGAATATCAATTCTGACAGGAGCAATGGATACATTTCTGTATAACTAATGATGTTTCTACAAAAAAATGAAATATTAGCTTCAGTGATTGGCTTCTCTTCTGAAGAGAAGCCTGTGCACACTGAAGCAAAAATAAAACCTTTCAATTTAAAACAAGTCAATGTCCAAGAATGCCATTTTTAAGCACTTCTAATTTTAAGAGCTAAGAGCTAGATAGGTTAAGGGATTTAAACATGCAGAAAATAAAATCTCTAACACTTGGCTTTAGGAGGATGTTGCTGCTACTGCAGGAAATAATTAAAGTTCTATAAGTTTGAATAAGAACTGAGGAAGGACTTGACTCTAGACTTATTGTTAAAAACTCACTTAAAGATGTGTCACAGTGTCTACTTTATGGACCACATAACCTAAATACTCACACAAGTATACAAAGAATATTTAGAAATTCATCCCTACATTCAAGAAGGAGTTGAATCTGATATTTTTACTGCTTCAGTAAATGCTTTTGGAGTGCCTGATGGGGTTTACTCATATTTCTTGCATGACACTGGCTTTTCTTGGAGTCGTCAGAAACCTCAGCATACCTTGAGTGTGCGATTGACTGGATTGCTTTTAGTCCATTTGGAATCTAGGCAGAGCAAGCTACTCACTGTCAAACAAAGGGAAGAGCTGCATGACACCTTGTTACATTCACCGCATACTGCTCTAGGGAGAAACTGTCTAGGTCTAATTTTACCCCCTTGTATAATAGAAACACCAGTGGAACCCTACTAGCGATGGTCAGACCCAAGGCCTGTGTTGTGATATTGTCTTGAGCGCTTGTCTTGAAGAGGTTCAGAGGGAGATATAGTAGAAGGCCAAGCATGTTGTAGCCCAACATTGTAACCCAGCATGCTACAGAAAGGAATCAACTGAACCACCAAAGACAAGAAGGCCACAGTAGGATGTACACCTCTGTTCTTTGGAAATCAGGCATCCAACTACCTATTTGGAGTTAGGAAAGAAGAGAAAATTTACTGTGGAAAAAGAGTAGTTCTCTTTGTTGTTCAAATATGTGCAGGTTTTAGAATATCTATATTCAGGCTTTACTCTTTAACCTCAATTTTAACTAAAGGTAATCATATAATGGCACAGACATGAATCTTTTTCCTAATGTTCATGTCTGTCAGACAGTTTAATGCTCTGTCTACATATAAAGGTGCCTGTATCCTAGTATAAATAAGGTTCTGTATAAAATGCTTTGAATTTATGTGTGTTGGCTTCATTTAAAGCATAGTGCTATGTGTTAGTCTATCTTTAAAGCAGATTTCTGCCTTTCTGTCTACTGTTCTGAGCACACTGTCTGGTATTTAAATATTGCCTAAATAAATTAATGTTCCTTTCTACTAATGCACAGTGTGTTCATAGAAAGTTTAAAAGTAGAAGAAATAAAGTGTTCCATCAATTGGAAGATTGCTGTTAATAATGTATAGTAACTAGTTTTCAGTGCTTAGTAAAATTTGATTATATGCTTTATCATCAATAAAACATATGCACTATATTTTAAAAAAAGAAAATTTCCTATGTGAATACTGAACTCCTTCTAATGTAAAAGCACATATAAAATGGTCACAACACTGGTGTAAATGTCCATGATTATGGAGAACTGCAGCAGTCAACTTAAGCTCTGATAGCAGAAACTAGCTAACTATATGAAAACAGGCCTTCCAAACAGTCATGTCAAAGTGAGGGAACAGAAAAGAGAAGCCTATACTGTAACTGTCATGTTGTCAAAAGCAGCAGTGTTGATTTTTTCTGTCTCTATACTGCTGCAAAAAAACCTCCCAGATATAATAATCTTAATTATTTTGATCATTTGGGAATGCTGGTAAAGTTAGATGATAATGATCTGGGAGCTGAGCAGGGGCAGTTGTAAGCCTTTCATGGACTAAATTCTTACAAATATCAAGAAAACAAAATAAAGGTAGCATGATGTTCTGCTTCTAGTAATGCCCTCTTCTCTGTTTTCACTTTGTTATATACACATTCCTCAGCAGACACATACTTTGTTTCTCATAGACACTACAAAAGAATTCTTCACAGAATTCTTCTCTAAGTCATGTTTTGTGTGAAAAGGAAATGTTAAAAGTCCTCAGAAGGATAAGGACAGGGGGTTAGCTTAGAGTGTAAAGCTGGTTTGGTTCTGCAGATTAGTGAGGTCCACAAGGCTTTATTTTTTTTTTTTCTTTTGATGGTGCATTTTATCTATATTCAATTTATAATCCACCTCCAGGAATGCCTGCCTAAATATGGACATATATATTTGTTCTGACTCTAGTATTTTTTTGTTTGATTTGTTTGGAGGATTTTTTGGTTGGTTGGTTTTTGGGGGGATTTTTTTCTTTGCTTGCTTGTTTGTATGGATTTGGTTGTTGTTTTTTTTTTTTAATATGAATATCTAATGAAAAATAAGGCATGTGTCAAATCCCCCAGATTCTTTAAGTGGTGGCTGGAAGAATCACCCTTACAGATGTACTTCATTTGCATTATAGTTTAAGTTTGCTGTAGTCTTACAGAAGTTTGGCCACAGTCCACAAAAATGCAGCTGGCTGTTTGGATTACACTTAGCAGCAAACTGTATGAGATAGCCTGGTAGTATTTCCTAGTTAATTAAGAAAATTAATGCCAGTGAAATAACACAGGTAGACAATTGCACAGGTACACACAAACACACATTCATAAGACTGTAAATAAACAGATTTCACAGTGACTATCGTAACTCTATTAATCACCTTATTTACATTTTTTATTATTTTGCTCCTTATTTACATGAAAGTGTAGTGATTATCATGTTTGCTTCAGTAAGTAAAAGCTGAAACATTGACGTTTGCCTTGTTTAAGTATATCAAACTGGACTACTGTAATACTGATTATTTAAATATAGAAATTCTCCATCCTTTTCATTTCTCTCCACTCATCTCTGAAAATCATATGCTTGGTCTTGCAGCTAAATGTTGTTTCTGTGAGGCTGCTTGAAAATGCAAGTCTGATGATGTACTGATGCACAGATTATAATTATTTATTTTAATGTATATGTTGATTGGCATTAATTTGATTTCAGATACAAGAAAATATATAGCTGAATAGAAGAGACTGTCTTGAATAGTTGAACTAAAGAATAAATTTGATGAAGTAATGGTGTTAGTTCTGAATCTGACTGTTGTAAAAGAAATTTGGTATGATACACACTCTTATGTGACACTGCTTCTTGAATAAATAAACTGATTTTTGAACAGAAATACCTTGCCAGTACTTCTACATTCTCCCTTTACCTTACCCATGCTGAAAGGAGGAAAATTTAATTTTTCTTTTACCTTCAGTGACACTAGAGGCAAAAAAAAACCTTGATCATCACTGATCCTAGTGTTGTATTTCATTAAATTTATATACAATTCCAGAAAGTGTTTTAGAAATTGACTTTAGGGAATCTATTAAACTTGTGATCTTGGCAGGTTCCCAAGTTTAATTTATGGTTTGGAGAAATATGGGATACTCGTTGACACCCTTTTCTGCAGCTGGGAATTACACGTGTGTGTGAATCTGTCATTTAGTCCATAGGGAAGGTAGGGTCAACACTGACCAATCATATAAAATATATACCTCAAGCTACTTTTATGTTGAAACATCTCAAGCTAGAGAAATCTAAGATTAGATCAAGACTGTATCAGTGGATTCGACTTTCTTTTAAATGTGAATTGTAGACAGCAGAATTTATAACAACGGCTGTCTCATCCTGCCTTTTTCCTCCTCTTTAGATAATGTTGCATGTGTATGTAAATATAAGCATGTGTATATTTGTATAAGCTTATGTGCCACTGTTCTCAAATATCTTTCTGGCAGTACTATGAAAGGACAATTGGACAGAAAAAGTGCTCAAGAGCCTCTAATAGATTTCAATCCAGTCTGCCTGCTGCTCTGTTTTGCACTGAGTCAAGTACTTTTTTTAACTGATAATTGAAAACCTATCTTGTTCTTACAGAATGGCTTTGCTGTTGTAAGGCCCCCAGGCCATCATGCTGAAGAATCAACAGCCATGTAAGTACCAGGGAATATTGCCCATCTTGGAGCACTAAGGTTACTGGCAATCACCTGTGTTGTGCATGTCTCTGAAGAACTGTAATTGTTAGCAGATGACTGAAAAGGTTTTCTAGGTACTCCCAGAAGCAGATTTATGGCATCAGAGATCATATAGCATTTTTCGAAATGCTCTGGACATTATTTATAGCTGTTTTCCTGACTGATTTGCTTTCTTATTTCTGTTCTTCTCTATTCCACAGGGGGTTCTGCTTTTTTAATTCGATTGCAATTACTGCCAAATACTTGAGAGACAAGCTAAATGTATGCAAGATATTGATTGTAGATCTGGTATGTATTCTTGGCAAGCATCACACTTTCAGTGCATCTAGATAAAAGATAATGAATTTGTATTTATATGTCAGACTTTCCTGGTTTAAATACCTACTAGCAACAAAGGTGTGTATTTTCTCTGATTTTGGTAACTCATTAAAGCCAGGATGGCAGTACTGAAGCCATAAACATCTATGTTTCACTTTAATGGTGTTAACTGCAATTTAATGAGAAGAAGGTACAGATCAGGGCAACTTTTATGGTCCTTAAATGAATTGATACTTCCACCATTAAAATAACCCTACAGAACACAAGTTTACTTTTCCCTACAGAATACAAATTTTAAATAGTCAGATGTGCTTTAAAAAATGTTGTTTCGGTAACCAAATTGGCCACTTCCCCCAGCTAGCAATGATTCAACTTGTTGTGTAACTTCGGTATTATTAAACAAATCAACAGGTCATTCCTTCTAAGGAGTTTTCAAGTCATGTATGCCAGATTTTGATGGTTCCCTTAAGGAAAGCTACGTGATTAAAAATCCACTTCATTGGATTAGTCTTGTATTTTAATAGAAGGCATTCTTACCCAATACTTTATATGTTTAACAAATGGATTATTTAAATGCAGATGACATTTGGCATGTTGTCCATATTATTTTCATGAATAATGAATTGGAGTTCTGCCTTGCACTTAAAGGATCAGCCCAATGCACAGCCCAATGAAAGTTGAATGCTGATTTATGAGCACCATTTTTGTTTTCCTACAGTTCATGAGGAGGTGTAATAGGGTGTCTGACAAAGCATAGACAGGAAATGAACCCTGGCATCAAAACCTAACCTGTTACATCTGCACTTAATTAATTTTTGCAGGTGATAAAAGATTTAAAGACAAAATATGTTAAAGGGTTTTTGAAGTGCGGGGCTTAATAGTCTAAATCTTGTTCATATCTGCACTCGTAATTAAATCTTATTGTGAAGTCATGGCCTTACCATCTAGCACTTTTGTTCAGTTAAACATGTACTGGCTGTTGAAGAGAAGCAGAGAAAGAGGGAGTGTCGGAGAAGGAGTGGCAAGTGAAAAATGAGTGGTAGAAGAAGTATATGGGCAGGTTAAATATTAAAATGTTTTTCGAATATTTCTCAGAATGTTCTATTATCAATTAGAAACATAATTCTAATTGCAAGAATATTTTTGAAGATTTCACTTCCACTGCGTGTTGTATCTGTTTGCTGACTTGAATCTTAGAGTTCATTGAGTTTTACTGCTGTAAATATTGGCCAAAAATGAATTCGATGTTTATTCTTGTTTTTTAATAGGAAAGGCCTATTCAAACTTTATATTTTGTGAATGTTTCTAAGTCCTTTTGATTATAAATGTTACGTTTGCTTTGTTGGGAAAAGAAACCAATTCCATTTGACCTGCTTAGCCAATAAGCACTTTGGAATTCAGCTTCAATTTTTTAAGGAAAAGTTAAATGTACAAATCATTACCTGTGCAAATGATGACCTGTGAAACTGCCTGTCCTTACCTAGGAAAGTAAGTGGGAAATACCAGCCTCTCTCTGACTCTGTCCCATTGGCCAGAATAATTCAGCTGTTGAAGAAATATGGCTGACACAGATTACTTTATTCCTGGAGCAGTTGCAGTCCAATCCCTAGTCTGCTCTATGATCAGAACAATGATGTACAAAAATTAATACGGAAAATTTCTTATGTATGCAAACTACAGATAAACTGCAATCCAAATGAAATTAATTAACAAGTTAATAGTGACGTCTTTATGTCTACTGAGTTTTGAACATCTGAAGGAAAGACTAGAATTACAGATGTTAGACTTGAAGTTAACCTTTAAGACTGTATTTTGATAGTGTCTACCACAGCAGGACCCCATGCAGGTTGGCAGCTATACATGATACTACAATGTAAATATTTAAAAGTAATATTCAGTCCCATACATTAAAACTGTAGTCTAGTTACAAATCAAGTGTAGCCTTCATAGAGGCTACATGTGTTCATACATAAATTTTTAACTTTTTAATTTTTAATCATTCTTTTATTTATTTCTACACTAAAATAAAAGACCTCCCTTTCAGCTTTTCTTTCTTTATTCCATCATTTGAATAAATCTCTATTTTTGAACTAACTTATATACCCAGAATACATTCGATCTTCTAAGGGCAGAATATGAACACATTTCTCATGTGGTAACATCCGCAGTCTTAAACAACACACTCCTTTGTCTAACCAGAGAAGTTACTGCTCTTCAAAACTCAGTAATCCTCGATGGAATTAATGTTTAGACAAGAAAGCTAGCAGAATTTAATGTATTTGAATAATAAAAATTTGAATAATAATTTATTTTTAAGTTCTTTCTATGCTCATTTAATATTTTTTCTTCTCATTTGAAAAATGTTACAGTAAAAATATATCTAAAGCCCCAAACATGCATGGAAAAGAAAGACTAATTAAAGTAAAAATGAAGTCCTACTATGTTTTTATCCATAATCTCTGCAGATTTATCTGTATGGCCAACAGAACTCAGATTGTTGTTACAATTCTTATTCCAAGATCATCCATATGTGCATGTATGTTAGCATGATCTGGGTCTGGATAAACCAATTAATTCTGTCACATTTGAAGACTGAATGGGATTCTGGAGTTAGTCTGCATTCCAGATCTTACTTCATTTGCGAGTCAGAGCCCTCTAAGACTATGCTGGCTGTTTTCAAATCTCCAGCATCCTTACGGCAGTGTGTGCTCCCTTATACCTCCGAAATATGTTACATTTGACCCTGGCATTAAGTTACAGTTGTGCTGCAACTTCATCTCCATGTTCTTCCAAGTACTTTCAACTGAGGAAAGAAAAGTAACCATTAAAATATTACCCCACAGAGGTCCCAGAGGAGGTCCAAGTGAAACACAGTGCTGTACAAGTAAGACTCAATCAATGTAGAGTCCTGAACATTGTGGTTGAAGGTCATGGGCTAGACCAGATGGTGCAGAACACAAGCAATGCACAGTGCTGGCTGTGCCATTGGCAGCACACACATAACTTCAACCTTCCTGGAGTCTAGATAACCTGAGGAAAATGTACGTTTTGTGATACTAAATTTGGTTTAGACCTCTTAGCTTTCATAAAATACAGCCTCAGTTATAGTGTTGCCATCCACAAACTTTTTCTGTACTCCTTGTGAATTCTCGTTATATGAGGAATTTAAAAAAAATGGCTTAAGGGAGGGGAATCAATAATATTCATAATTTTTCAGCTTCTTACAAATGTAGAGGATAAACTTACAAAAAACTCAACTTTCTTTTGCTGAAAGGCAAGTGGTTTTTCCATTTCCACTTATAAAGCTTCTTGCATGTCTAACCACATAGTACAATAGTAGAACTGTAAAAACAAAACTAAAAAAGAGGAAAAGTCGACATCATCAGCCTTTGTTATGCAGATATACTGTCAGCATTTCTTTTCCAGTATTTCATTTAATGACAGAATTTCTTTTCACTGCCATTATATAATATTTGAAATATGGAGACTGGCCAAGGTCACTCCTTGATTGGGGAAGGCACCATCCTATCTGCCAGATGATTTAATAGCTAATGAGATCATATTCCTATGTCTTCAAATGTTGCCATCATGATTTTGCAAAAAATGAAGTATAAAGTCCTTTCTGCATCTGGCATCTCTTTTGATGTGGATCTAACTGCTGAGGGACTGAACTGAACTGAATGTTTCAAGAAAGCCAATTTACTCAGCTGGTCTCAGAGCCTTTGACCTCAGTAGTGGAACTTGGCAAATCAATGAATATACTTATGTTTAGTGTTCTGTCAAGAATTGTGAAAAAGCTCTGTAAACCATAGATCTTTCTGCAAAATACTAGTTTGTAGTTTAAACATTAGTCTTTCTTCAGAGGCCAATGAGGCTAGTTAATTAAGCCTGAGGGGTTATGAACTGTTGGCAGTTAATAAGTCATAAAATTCCTCCATAAAACAGGATGTTAGATTCCATCACTGAGGCAAGGAGTACAAAGAGCCGGTGTATAAATATCTAATTGTACAAAAGGACTGGGATTTCTCACTGACTGCTCATCTGGAGTCTCCAGGGCACGCTCGCTATGGTTTCCTGATTTTTAGAAGCCAGTTTAAAAAATGAGTGCATTAAAGAGTAATTTGCCTGAAAGTTCAGGAAGTATGGGGTGGTGAAGGGAGGGGGAAAAGAAAGACAAAAGGAGGGCAAGGGAGAGGGAAAGAAACAGGGGTGGAGGGGGGAAAGAAAGCAGAAGTGAGCTCTCTACACTGAGTTGGACATTATTACATTTGTCATCTGTTTTCTTTCTCCTTTAGGATGTTCACCATGGCAACGGTACACAGCAGGCTTTTTATGCTGACCCCAGCATCCTGTATGTTTCCCTCCATCGCTATGATGAAGGCAACTTCTTCCCTGGCAGTGGAGCCCCAAATGAGGTTAGGTTTATTTCTTTAGACCCCCATTTTTATTTGTATCTTTCAGGTAATTGCGTTGCATGATTGCCCCTAATTTTCTTGTCCTTCTCTGGTTCCTTAAATTACACCAGATTACCAAATTGTCTACTGGGAGCAGGGGACCAGTGGAGAACAAGTGCATAACTCAGAGCAGTCCCTGTCAAACAAGGCTGGGCTGATCTGACATGTTGTTTGATGTTTGTTTCTGAAGCACACAAGAAATATTTCTTCTCTGCCACCCACCCCACCGTCACCCCACCTCACCCCCCACCCGCCACCCCTACCCCCATGCCTTCCCTCTCTTTTCCTTCTTCTGTTTTCACCTCTTCACTCTTTTTGGCATTTTATTCCTATTTTTCAGGTTGGAAGTGGCCCTGGTGAAGGTTATAACATAAATATTGCTTGGACAGGTGGCTTGGATCCTCCTATGGGTGATGTTGAGTATCTCACAGCATTCAGGTTTGTACCTTTATCTTTAAAAGTTCTGAAAACTGGATATAGAACATAAGCACATGAACAAAAGCGACTGAAATTTTGCAAGACAGGAGAATGACTCAGGGTGAAACTAATTTAATGCTGGTATCCAAGTACACAAAAGCTTAGTAAATAACAAAAATGGATAAGTTAATTGTTGTGATCACCCGCTCAGAATAATTATTTTTAAAAATCTGTTTAATCCGTCACTCATTTTATCATTATTATATCATGCCAGTAAAATGACTTTGAGCTTGTTCACTTCTCTACCTACAGAATTTAAATGTAAGCAATTATATCAGGCAGAAGGAAAATACTGTTCACAGATCAGTTGCAGTTACATGCAAGTAACGAAGATGATAGAAAGCCATATGAAGTATGGTCCAAATCCAGCATTCCCCATTCACTTAAAGTCTCATTGTGATGACACAGATTTGACCGATTGGCTTTTTCCATGAATTGCAGTAAAGTGTAATTTACTTACAAGTAAATAACTTCTATTGTGAAAATTAAGTTAATTGTGAAATGTCACAGTAAAAATGACAGGAAATATTGCATGCATGAAAGTATTTCTCTTTACTTTCAATAGCTTATTCTAAATGAAATTTTATTCTTTCATAAGTAATGCGTCATAATTTTTAGTCTTATTTTTATGGGACCAGAGGAGGTAAAAGCTGTTTAAAACACACTCTTTTAGACTTTCAGTAGTCCTGCCGTACCTATGCCATTTTCTTGCATTACAAGTAGTCCAGTGAAGGGTTTAGTGGGCACTCACCTTTCAAGACAGCGCAAAGGCTACGTGTTTGAAAAGTGGAAACTGATATGCAAAAAAGGCAATGAGAAAAGTAAAGTATTTCCAGCCACTTTCAAGACTTCTAGTTTGAAGTAGTGCATTTATCTTATGTAGCTTTTACTATATTCTATTGATAATGCATAATAAAAAATATAAAAGCTTTTTTTTTCCTTTTCTGTAGCATTCCTGTGCAGTCCATGAAATAATATGCAGAGGATCAGATAACAACACACCTGAATTAAAAGTATAAACCCTAGACACAGAAACAGCATTACACATTCACAGTATCACACTGTTGCTGTGGAAAAGGTTTCAATTTTATTTACAATATTTGCCTGTCTTTAAAAAGAGTCTAAATAGTGGCAGGCTCCAAAGTTTGTACTCCTCAGTATTTCCTCAAGCTCTTTCCAAGATCTTTCTTATTCTTTGATGAGATTTTTACTGAAGTTAGGGGACTGGATGGTTAAAATCACTGCTATTAGTGTCTGCTATCAATACATCTGGTATGATCACCCCAAAATTCTTGGTTTGGATCCAACTTGTCCCAGTAATGCTATAGGTAATCTGGCCATCTAATACTGTGGAGAATGGTGGTCCCAACTTATTGAACAAAAGATTCATGTAACTGCCTACAACCATAACTGGCACCCCTGGTATCCTGACAACAAATACCTAGGCTTAATAATGCCTTGTCAAACATGTACTTTGCAGTTTTATTTTAAGACACGCTAGTGAATAGTTTGGAGCAGCTAATATTGCTGCTGTACCTATTGCTCTGCTTCAGTTTTAAAGGGATTTCAATATCTGTTCCTGAGTAAAACCTCACTATTCAGGAAAATAAAATTCATGTAAGCTACTACATGCTAGCTGATCATTTGCAGACATACCACTAATATAAATGCTTAATTTTTTAATTTTATTTTAATGCAGGTAAGTTTAAAGTCAAAGTTGAGATTTGCCCTAAAAGAATTGCTAATGGTGCAAAATTTAATGCTTCTCTTTTCAATACATACATTTAACCTCACAATTAATGTTGTAATTAATGTGAAGGTTATATTTTTTAATCTAATGCTGTTGACTGATTACAATAGTTATTGCTGTTTTCCTTTTCTCCAAAACAGTAGGATCGACAGGAAATGTTTCCCTACACCCTAAAACCATTTTTGCTTGGGCACAATCATTGTGCTCTATCTAGGGATTATTGATATGGATTTGGTACGACTGGTATGACAAATCTGAATGGGGATCAATGAAGCAAACAGCATGGAACTTTGAAGGGTGAATAGAAAAATCTGTAACTTACATAAGAAGAACAAGGTATCTATTTTATGTGCATCTGGTCTGAACGTTGGCTAAATTTGTGACTCCTAGTAAAGAGACAATCTGTGGAACAGAATCTAGCCCTGCTATTATCCAAAGTTTCAAACATCATATAGCCTGTGTTCTCAGTTTTGCCAGAATTGTGAGACAGTCAAGAGAGATCCACAGTTCAGTCACTTAGCCATAGATAGAAAGGTACAGGCTTCAAGAATTTCAATAGAAGAGCTGCTGAAATACCCCTGCAAGTCAGCTGTTGTTTTGGAGTTTTGACCTGCAACAGGTCAGTTTTTAGGAAAATAAACAGTGAGTTATGTAGATAGGAAACTAAGCTCGATTTTTCTCCCCCACCCCCCCTTTTCTTTCTTTCTTTTTTTTTTTTTTTTGATAAATCGACTTTAGAGACAGATTTACAGGGAAGATCAAAGATCCAATCTAAGGGGTAGGTAAAATGTTGAACATCCTCAATTTTAAGACAAAAATAAGGGACAAAATGGAGAGATTTTCGCTTCATACCTACTCCCCAGTAAACAGAGAGGTTATGCAGTTTTCAATCCCTAGGAAAATCAGGAGAGATAGCTGGTGAAGGTCCTCTGCAAAATATCCAAGGTGTAAGTTTACAGATAGGTGGAGCCTGTATGGTAAGAAGGTGACATTTTCTGTTTTCTGCCTGCCTTGGAAGCCTAAACTTTTGAGTTCTTAGAAACTGAGAAATTTGCATTAAAATCATCTAAAGCTCCCTAGGGGGTACATATAACCTTCACTTTCTCACTAGCAGAGCCCTAGTTTCTTTCCAGAATTGCACCAAGCACATATTTGAAGTGTCAGCAACCATGACACTAGGTAGCTTGTTACTGCTTGATTGACTGTCAAATTTCACATTCTTCTGAATGATATCCACAGAAATAGAAAGCGAGGTTTTTTTCTTACTCAGGAGTTTTGTCCATAATAATGTATTATATATGATGATATAGTTGATATCACGTATATTGTTCACGGGCCAGAATCTATCTGTAGAACAATGTAAGTATTTACATACAGACACATTCAGGGAGCTGAATATTACTTATTTTACACTGGATAAATGGCTAGGTGAATCTATTTTAAGTACATCTTGTTGGGACTGAATGAGATTCCACATCACTCTTCCTCCACACTAAGAGAAAATATTTCTATTTCTTCAGGGAAAAGCAACTTTCATGTGTAAAAATGCAGAAAATTTGAATATGAGTTAGAGGCATAACAGAATATTCACTTCAAAGGCATGCTGAGTGAGTGGCTCCTGTGGGACTCTATTGTGAAACAGGAAAAATTATGGTACTGGTTTGTGTTTGCCATTTTAATTTCAGTGCTACATGAAGAGACTTTATTGTATTTTTAAACTAACTCTAGTACAAAATAAAATTTAAATGTCTGTAACTGGATTGAAGATGAAGACTGCTCTTTCATCTATAAAAGAATACATTTTCCTTTCCATTTCTTTCCCATTTCTACTAAGAAAATAGTTTTGCCTGTGTTAACTGCAAGGATGTAGTATAAAATGTAGGAGAGAGAAGTTTCTCTAGAATGGAAGTGTAGTAATTGAGTCACTGTACCTTTTGATTTTTCCAGAAAAGTTTTGTTTGAGGTTTTACCACAATTAAACAACTTGTCTACAAAAATCCTTGAAATAATTTCCTTTTTCTAAAGTGCAGGTATCTCTTCTTTTCCCCTGTTAACCAAAGCACAGTTCATTATTTTCAAGGCTTCATGTATCCTTCCCTTTAGAGAGTTTTGTTTCATCATTTACTGCCATCTATTCAGGCAGTATTCATTAAATTTGCTTTAATCTCTTTGAAAGCAATAGAAGATGGTGGTTCTTTTCTAAGACAATAATTCTACATGAGCTTATGAGGATGTAATCCAGTCTCTTCTGCCAACAGTTATAGAAAAAAATAAGAGCAATGGTCGACTACTAATGTTCAAATAATTATTTTCATAAGCTCCGCATTTTACCAGATGGGTTCAGTGAAGGAGGCAGCAGACAGGGGCTTAGGTCTGTGTTGTACATGCACACATGTATAGGTATATACTTGGAGTTTACAGAGGACAGGCGCAATGTGCTTCTATAGAGCAGAGTATAGAAGACACAGGAGGCAGTGGGAACAAATGTGTTTAGGAGAGTCAGAGAGAAGCAGGAGACAGAATGAGACTGGGGTGTGCCTTCCAACTGCTTTGCACTGCTTTTATTTAACAAAGGAGCTGTAAATTTAGCTTAAGCAGCCAGTATGCACTGGCTGCTTTTCTCTTCTCCAGAGTAGCATAAAACAGCCACAGCATATCAATGAACCTGGCCATAAAAGTTTACATAAAATGAAACGTATGTGTGTATGTGCTTCTTGGAATGATTAGAAATAGCTCATTATAATATTATCTTTGAGTTCCAATATTTAGCAGCCACATGTATGACTTTAATTTAAGGAGGTGAGGAAATTCAAAAGGCATAGGTGATGTTAAGTCATAGTTCAGGATGAATTATATGCATGATCCAATTTAAAATACAGGACAAAATTTATAATTGTCCCCAAAATAATAATTTTATCTAAAAAGAATTCGAAATTAAAATCCTACTTGAAAACATATATGTTAAAGTGTAAAAATGAAAGAAAAGTGCATAAAATCTACACTCTTACAATTCTCAGTGCTTGTTTGGGGAGAAATGTGTCTAAAATTCTGTATTTTGAATTCTGATATATTCATTTCAGTCTTGTAGACTTAAACATCATAGTTAAATTTATTTGAGAGATTGCACTGATGTATACCAACCGTTTTTGTGCCTTATTTTTATATTTTCTGGTATGATGACATTTAAATTTGACACTTCAAATTAAAAACT